CACCTGCTGTTGCTGGCGGAGAGGGAGGTATTCCTCCTGTTGCTGGGATTTATGTGCTTCCTGTTTCAGGACACACGTTCCAAGTTTTATGTGATCTTTTATAGGCACTTTTTTTTAAACTTAGAACAAAACGCTTATATAGAGACTTTACAAGTTTTCCTTTTCAGAGTGGTGAAATAGCAAATTTCAGGACAATAATAAACTTGAAGGTGTGGTGAAACATTTGCTTCTTGGATTCAATTGCGTTAAATAAACCTTTACTGTGTTTGAGTCCTTTTTCAAGAATAAAGTATAAAACACAGCCATGTGTTTGTTTTGTGTCCCACAGTGCTACTTTTCCACTCCTTATATGTGAGGACTTGTGTACCTGAAACCATGTAGAAGATTTGAGACCTCCTCTTAGAGCAGTCAAGTCATCAACATTCATAATATACTGATTTGGATGAAGTCAGTTCCATTTATATGAAATACATAAAATGAGATGTTTGCTTCACACAAATTCCTGGTGCTGTTGTTTGCTGGTACTTTGTAATCAGTCTCACCTCGTGGTGAAACACACTGGCTTTGTCATGCACCAGTCTAACCAATACCTAAAAGCATGAAAATTCCTCTTGCAGTATATTTCACCGAAGTAGAGCCAAGATCCTCACATCAGTTATTTTTAAAATGAAAAAAAAATCTGGTTTTATCTTGTATTAGTATTTTATCTTTAGATACAGGAAAGCTCTTTTTAATTTTTTGTAGGTAGTAATATGCTTTCTGTTGAGAAATCAGTAATTTAACTGTAAAGACTGTATGTTCATTAAAATATATAAAGTCTGCTAACTCTTTTTCTATACTTTCCATTTTCTTGAATATTCCTTTGCAATCTAACTTCATTCCACAACCACTTGGAAATCTAATCAGAAGTAAATTTGGAGTTCACCCTTACACCTTTAGTATTAAAAGCATATTTTCCTAAGTTCTAAAACTTTGAAGTGGGATGCAAGTTTTCAGACTACTAATTTGATTCTATTCTAACACCAGAGTAATTCCGGTTCATATATTGCCTTCATGTCTTTATTTTTGTGACCGCTAGATTGTGGGTATACTGAAAGTGTCTTTGTGGATCAAACTTTGTACCGGATTGGAGATAACTGCTTTTTTTTTGTTTGTTTGTTTGTTAGAGAGATTAAAGGACTGAATAAGTGAGCTTTAAAAAGATTGTAAACAGTATTCGTTTAGATGTTTAAAACAAACCAAAAAAAGCCAAACACAGAAATACCTGCCAGTTCACAAAGAAATAGGCTGTTTATTTTAGAGTTCCTTCATACCCCAAGGACGTTGAGTTTGCTGGAAAAAGTTGAAGTAGCTGTGGTCTTAATTCTCAATTTACCTGAGACTTATATAGTTTAAAATTGTAAGTTTAATAAAAGTGTCAGTGTGTTGTATTCATTAAGGAAAAACTGCAAGTAAGCAACACAAGATACAAGCTGTGTAAAATCTACCCTCTTATGTAAGGATTTAAACCATTGTTTGGTTAAATGTCAACTTACAGTAAATACACTTCCATTACTGTTGACCTTTTTGAATTTATTGTAGCCTAATGCTCTAAAGCACTTTTTCACCTTCTCTTTTGCAGCTTTTCATTTCACTTTAATATCTTTTTAGCACTTAATACTCAGGAGAAGCTTTCACTAAAATATTTTTTGAGTTTCACCTGAGCAAAAAGATCCGAAGAAGGTTCAGTTCTCAATTTGTAGATGACTGTAGTCCTTATATTCTTTGCTGTTACACAGTGCAGTTAATCTTTCAATTAAGATCTTGTTCTTAAAAAGTCTCTTCCCCACCACCCCAGTTGTGGGTTAACATACATTTCAAAACCTCTGTATCTTGTTCTTAAGAAGTCCCTGTAGTATGTGTAATCAAGTTGGATTACATGCTACTTTTTTAAAGAATGGTTTGTGTTCTTTTTCCCCCCCTCTTGGCATTTGGACATAATTATCTTTATTTTTTTTGTCAAGTTCATGCTTACCAGAATGAGATATGCTAGTCTTATAAACCATACTTTGCGTTTAGTTAGTACTTTCCATTTGTGGATCTTAACTGAGTTTATAAAACGTTGATGTGGATCTAGGAATGCCCTTTCAGAAGTGTTAGCAAAACTTCAGTCAGAGTTGGATTGGTGTGAGGACATCTGTAGGCAGTCCTGCTTGAAGCCTGTGCCAGTGTGCTTGCTCTCAGGGCAGCCAGTATCAAATGCTAAAGGGAAAAGCCCAAGGATAGGGCAGGCACACACTTTCTTGTTTCTCGCTTCCTGAACCAGAAGTAAAACTTGTGTTTTTTCTTACAGCTCTTAATGAATTATTTCTCTCAATGCTTAACTTCGTTCAAACCTAATTTTTTAGTTTCCACAGTGTTCTTAAAGCAAGGAGTTACAGCATTTAGTTGTGCTTTAATGAGAAATTCCTTTATCTCCTTTAAAGCTTTTACCTGGTCATTTAATTTAATATCTCTGACTCTTGTACATGAGAAACTGTAAATGATCTTCCCATTTTTAGACAGTTTTGTGAGTGCTTTTTTTTAGAGGTCTCCTACTATTTCTCTGCTGCCAGACCTTTTATGTTTTAACCATCTTCAGGTGGAAGAATCCTAGTCCTTTTAATGTTTACTCATAATCAGGTGGAAAGCCACTGTATACTTTTTTTTTGTTCCTTTTCTAGTTCTGTGTGATTTTGAAAGGTGTAGACAAACACTGCACATAGCACTTAAGGTATTGAGGTACAGCATAGATTTATAGCATAGCTTAATAACGTTTTCTGCTTTTTCTCTGTTCTGTTAGTAATGATTTCTAGTATTCTCTTTCTTTCTGCAAACGCCACTGAACAACAGCCTAATATTTCCTTAGAAATATATGTAGTAACTCTATAGTTTGCAGCTGACTTATGGCTTATCACTGTAAACAGATACTTCTGTTGTTCTTGTCCAGGTGCATTACTCTCTACTTATCAGCACTGTTTCTTCTGCTTTTTATCATCTGATCATTGAGTACGGTGAGATCCTTTGCAGTCTCTCGAGTGCATACCAAAGATTTGTCACCTTGCTGTTCATTTCCTTTTCCAGAAATTTTGTTAATACATTGAACAGAATTATCTTTGCATGCCTCTGGGCCTCCTTTGGTCACTCTAGGCACTTCAAAGGTGATCATTTACTTCTCTTCTTTCTTTCCTGTTCTCAAACTAGTTAGTTATTCATGAGAAGCTCTTTTCCCTTTTTAATGAAAGGCAGCATTACTACTTTAAGAGTCTTTGAGAAAGATTTTTAAAAAGCTTTCTGAAAATTCAGGTGACAGCATCCCTGTGCTGTTTGAAGATGTCAGATTTACCAGGCAGTACTTTATCTACAAATGCCACCTTAACATAACCCTGTTGTGTCATATTTATCTAAGTGTCTGCAAACTCTGTTCTTTCTGGTTTGCATGATACAAGGATCATCATGCTATCACAATTTTTCCCATTAAACTTACTGGTTTGCAATACATTGACTTTTCCCTGGAACTTTAGTCTCCTGTTTGCCACCTCCCACTTCTCCAGTACTGAGACCACTTTATTTAGGTGATAAGTCCATAGTAACAGAGCAGCAATTTTGTAAGTAATTTTCTTTAGAACTCTTAACTGAATACTTTCTGATTTTAGCAATTTCTTTCAAATATTTTTGGTTTTGTTTTAAAGTCTCTTCTGTTGTCTTGTCATCTTGGAACACTTCCTTTGATTTGTCACCTGTTAAGTTTTGATATAAGCTCTTTTGTGAGCTTACTGACAGAGAAGGGAGAAATATCTGTTGGTGAATTTTTTTAAATTGAGTTTCTTTTTTTATCTAACTGCTTCTTAGATTTCTGAGAGTGCTCTTTGCTGTAGTTTTATCTGTATGGTTCATTGCCTTTGTTTATCCATGTTATCTTGTATATTTTTCACAGACTTTGCAGTTCAGTATGTTCTTTGAACTTTCTCAGATTATTAATTGTTGCTGTACTGATTATTTCTGTAACCCATTTAGGTCCTGCTCAGGTTCCAATGATGTCCCCAAATGGTTCAGTGCCTACTATTTATGTGCCTCCTGGATATGCCCCACAGGTATGTCCCTTCATTTAATTCCTATTTTATTTCTTTTCATGGAAATTACAGGAGTAGAACCAAAATAGCTAATTCAGTAAATTAATGTGTCAAGTTTCAGAGTCATTGTGGTCAAGCAAGTAAATAAGGGCAGATGTCCCATAGTATATACACGATAGGAGACTTCTCCTGCGGTATATATGCTTGTTTAATTATGTATTAATTACTTACATGACAATAACAAGCACAGTTCCTTGTTGAGTTCAGGATCCTAATGTACTCGGTGCCCTCTGAACATAAAATACAATCGTGACCCAAATAGTTCATTATGTAGGACCGGTACTGAATTCTGGGTTAGTGAATGTTTTCTTTTGGCACCAGTCTAATTTTATATATGTACATAGTTCATGTCTGGGAATTTCCCTGCAGATAAGGGGTAGAACAGATCAGTTAGAAAAAGTGTAGCAAACAACATAAAGGAAATGTCAGCTGTCCATTGGGGATAAATTATTCTGTAATACGTGTTTCCACAACTTATCTTAAAATGGGGCTCTGATTTTCTGTGCTGTGCGATTTCCCAATTTAGGTGCCTGAAAATTAAATGTGAACTAGATAACCTGGACATCCTTTAGACTAGATTAAAAGGATGATTCCTCTTGGCTGTTTTTGACACCTTTATTATAATGAGATGTGTGGTCTTCTAGTTGATGTCTCTCTCTCTTTCTCTGAACTGTGGAACGAGCCTAGGGGTTAGTAGGTCAGACCTGGAAGTTACAGAGCAGATGTCCATAATATAAGTCTTTCTCATGATGTTCTGTTGTTTTGACCAGTCTACCTCTGACTTAGCGTACACCTCATGGTGTACACAGAGAAGAGACTACAACGTATAAAATGCAACCAAAAAACCCACAGTGTCCAGGAGATGTTACACAAATTATCTGAACTACATGAAAAAATTGTCCTCGAGCAAAAGAAAAGGCTGTTAGGTTAGGCAGGCTAATGCTCCATGATTTTACCTTTCATCTGTTGCAAGTTGGCTTATAAGTTGATTCGTGCATCCTTCAGAGTTGACTTCCCAAACAGGCAGAAGAAAAATGAATTAAAAATAATCATGAAAGTCCGTTTATCTTTAGGTCATAGTAAAAAGTCTTGATTCCTGTTTAGAATTCATTTTTAAAGAACTGAGAGAATTTTTTAAATAAGTGAAATTTGAGTTTTAACATATTTCTTGAGTACTTCATTTCAGTTGATGAAGTACTTAATGTTTAAAAAGTTGTGTAACCTGGGACAATCTGAATAAACTTTAACAAAGTAATTTATCCTTCCTTTGAGGACAGCTTGGAGCAGACAGGCTGCCTTGCTGAGACACACTCATTAGCCTTTCATTGGAGCTTATTAGTGCAAGCAAATGTTGTGCCAACACAACTCTCTGACTTTTGAAATGAAGGTGCCTGACGTCTATCCGGCTCAGACTACAGGTGGAATGAGCTCATGTATGCTGTTTTCGTTTCAGTAGAAGTATCGTAGTCCAGGAAAACTTGTAGTATATGAGGCTTCTCAAGTGTTTACTGCTGATAGAACATCCCAGCTGCTGTGCTTTATGATGGAAGGTCCTGTTACAAGCCAGAAGATTTGATAGTAGTCTTGCAAACAGGAAAGCCTGTCACTATTGAGCTGAGAGTTACCCCAGACTTAATGCAGTCCCAGCAAAACAACTTCCATGGTTTCTTCAGACATAGTATATTTTTAAATTTCAGCAACTGCAAATATGCTTTGAGAGAAAGAGGAAACCAGCTAAACGTCTAAAGCCAGCAGCCTCGAAGAACAACTTCAGCATAACCATCTTTTGTGTATCCATTATCATTTAGTTCTGTTATGACTCTGCTTGCTTCAGTCCCTGTTTGGCAGTGATACAGCATACTGTCCTCTGTTGGAAGTTGGGGATAACTACAGAATAAAGCATATTTCTTTTTCTTACATCACATAAATAAAAAGCAATTCATAAGTTGATTTACATCTCCCTTCCTCTCCTTTTGGAACTGTAGTTCATAGATTCATAGATTCATAGATTTCTGGGTTGGAAAAGACCTTAGAGATCATCCAGTCCAACCAGCCCTAATCCCCGTTAAACCATATCGCTAAGTAGATCATCCACCCTATTCTTAAACACATCCAGGGATGGGGACTCAACCACCTCCCTGGGCAGCCTATTCCAGTGGCTGACAACCCTTTCAGAGAAGAAATACTTCCTAACATCCAACCTGAATCTCCCCTGACTAAGCTTATGCCCATTTCCTCTTGTTCTATCACCCATCACTAATGTAAAGAGCCCTTCCCCCACCTCCCCACCATCTTTTCTCAAGTATTTGTAGGCTGTAATCAGGTCTCCCCTCAGCCTCCTCTTCTCCAGGCTAAACAGCCCCAACTCCCTCAGCCGCTCCTCATAAGTTTTATTTTCCAGCCCCTTGACCAGTTTAGTCACCCTTCTTTGGACTCACTCCAGGAGCTCAATATCTCTCTTGAAGCGAGGGGCCCAAAACTGGACAGAATTTAGTTGTAAAACTCTGAAAAAAACCACACCTTTATTCATCCTCCCCAAGCTGTTTGCATTCACTGTCTGTACTGAGTTTTCCAGTGATGTTTAGTTGGTTCACTCAACCAAGCGGGTCTATGCCAGAACGATGTGTTTTGCTAGCACGATTAGGATAATAGATAACTTGTTTATTTTTTTAACTACTTGACATGATGCACTTAACTGCTTTTTGGAGGGTTTTTTTTTTCTGTGTAGTTGCCTGGTAGAGGCCTACTGTTGAGTTGATGTGTGATTTAGAGGCACAGTTACAGACTTGTCAAACTCTTCATTTTACACTATTAAATTTAAGGTCCCTGCTGCTATGAATTCGGTATCTATTTCTGAGTTACTTAGGCTATTAGCAGACCCAAGAAACAAATTTATAAACTAAGTAGCCTGTCTTTTTTGTGGAAGCTGCTTCCTGCATAATCTGTATCTGCTCATAAAATCATAATAAATTGCACCTTTTTTGTGTAAGCAAAAAGGACTTACATAATTAAAATTACATTTCAGTGTTTAGAGAATTTCATTGAACAGCAGAAGTTCTAGTTGCATTTACTGCTGTTAATATATCCTACCTTTAGATACCACTCTGCTGTGGTTGCACAGATATGAAGAGTGTCTTTAGTGAAATTAGTCTTTCCCAATAAAGGACGATTTCTGTTTACTGAAAACAGCCCGTTTTTTAAAGTCACACAGCATGTATGTATTTTAATGCTATGTTCACTTAGGCAATTTGTATTAATTTCCAGCTCTCTATTTATGTGAGTAAGGTGATCAGCTCCATTGTGTACATATTTTTATGTCTTCTGAATGTTACTGCATATGTATAGAGATCTTCATTCTACCATTACAGCAGAGGCATTACTGTGTCTAATTGCTGTCTTTCTCGGTATAGTAGTGAGGTTTTGAAACAATTTCCTACACCAACCTCACTCTACCTTGCATTGATCCAGCTAGCAGGATAATTTTGGGGTGTACGAATCAGAGAAAATAAAAGCAGAACCTCCATTCCAGATGTACCAGGTGCACACCAACCCCTAATGGAGACATGGTAAAAACAATAACTGATTCTCCAAGCAGCTTTCTGCCATGGACTTGGTGGAAGTGTTCACACCAGGGCATGGGACTAAATCTAGCCGAGTGTAATACTCTTAAGCTTAGTGAAGTTCAAAGCAGCTTGGCACTATGTGCTTTCATCTGTTGATCTGCTCCTGTTGCACGAGGTTACTCATTGGTGTACGTGCCCGTTTCCATCACATTTCAAATGCCAGTCATAGAGTTGCCTTGTGCCTTGCTTTTCAATGTAGTCATGATATTCCAAATTCCTTTCTTCTTCTCCCCCTTTTTGGGATGTTTCATCCAAAAACGTACATTGCAGTCCCTGCTGTGGCATTATTTTACAGCATTTTCCTAGTAGTGAAGAACAATTTGTTCATTGGCATGCTGAATACTAAAGTTATTGACACCACGATAAATACAAGTTAAATTTTGCCAAGATCATCTCCAGATATTACCAACAGTCATGTATTTTTGTGAGTTCACCAGTAGTGACACAAACACATAGAGTGGATCATGATGGCAGTCTTCCCTGTCTGTGATGTGCTTCAGGAGGCACCCCTGTTCCTGGTCCAGTTGATGACCAACCCTTGTTTAGTGAAGAGCATTTTCTGCCTCGTTACTTCTACAATAGGTGCCTTTGTGCCTGCTCTCCACCAGACCCCTACATGCTGCAGACCCCAGCTGTGCTGCACGTGCCATGCACAACACACCTCAGCTCCGTGCATCTTACGTGACCACGCTTATTCTCATCATGGGATTACGTGTGTTGCTTTTGTTTATTGGAACTTCTAGCAACATTGCTAAGGGCTGCACTTGGGTCCCTCAGCAGAAGGCTATCCTGTCACATCTCCAATTTGCCATTTTTGCACAAGCCTCTTTGCTCACCAGAATCTGGTAGAGTCTGCTACAAAGGCACCTGTTTTTTGAGTAGCATGTGGCTTCCTTCAGGGTG